CCTGACCTCCTCGTGTGACATTTCAGCCGTAGCATTGAGAGCTGGTGGCACCACCCTCTGCTGTCCTGATGAGAGAGACCGTGCTTTCCAGTCTTTTCCAACTGATGCTTTATGTGTTTGGAATCCGTTCATTCCTTCCTCTTGAAATCTACATACCTTCTATTTTATTTCAAATTGAACGATGACTTTCTCATACAATTTGTGCTTTTTTTATGGGATTTTTTTAAAGCTGACCTTATTGAGATATAGTTGACATGTGATAAAAATCACTTTTCTGTGAGCAGTTAGACGTGTGCTGACAGTGTGTGCACTTAGCACAGCGCCACCGTGTCTCCTTCCTCCCAGAGGCGCCCTCTGGCCCGCTCAGATGTCCCCATCCACCCTCATCACAGAGTGGCCTTGTCTGTTGGTGGTGGTCTGTGTCATTGCCTGCCACCGACTGAGAACCAGGACATAGCCGTGGAGAGGGCAGACCGCACTGTCCGGCATGCCCAGAGCCCCACGTAGACACCTTCAGACAGTAGGTGGCGCTGTGGGGTCGTGCTGAGATAACGAGGAAAGCGTTTTACATCCTGAACCCAGATACCAACTTCCTGTAGAAAAGTCTGCAGGAAAGTTTCGGTTCACTGGCTTTGTTATAGCCGTTTTAAAGGAGCCAGGAGACAATGGCATGGAATACTTGCAGCTGGTTTAGTTTAGTGAGTGACCTGATTTATAAATTAAATTTTATCAAATAATTTATGTTTAACTATACTAATAAATTGAGTCTGTGTTACAGACTTGTACAGTTGCATAATTTGTTCTCATCTTTAAAAAAGTATTGCTTTGCTTATTTATGTGTAACATAATTCTGTAGTTCTACTATTTTAGCTTAATATTTCAAATAGGCAATAGTTATGAAAAAATGCAAAAGAAAAAACAATCCCAGTCTGTACTCTCAACTTCTAAATGTGTGGTAACAGATTGCTAATTTTAATAAGACTACCAAAATTGGTATATGTGCATTTGATCTTTAGTGAAGAGCTGCCAACATAAAGTGAAGAAATAATGTGACTACTTAAGGTTTAAAATTCCTCTTCCATAAACCGTGTCTTGCAGCCCTCCGGCTGTGTTGAAGCCATGCCCACTCTGTTGTCCTGTCCCCACCCTCACTTGCTCTCCTGAGGCTGACCTTGCGGCAGGACAGGGTCTGGGGGAGAGGGGTTGGGTCTGGCCAGGCAGGAGCCAGGATCCATGGTGTAATCCATGGCCTCCAAGTCGTGGCTCAGATTCTGCCTACGAGATCCCAGAGTGCTAGACATTTGGGATGAAGGCACACTCCAGCCAGTAGAGATCCCTGCGGGCCAGAATGAGTAAGGGACCTGTTCCCACACCTCCCTGTGAACGTCCGCCCAGGATGACACGTCTCCTGAGGGCCTCCTGGCAGTGGGGGGACACAGATTTGCAGGTGGGGTGAGGCCTGCGGGCTGCCCCACCCTGGGACTCGGGGTCTCCTAGGCTCCCACCTTTGTAGGTGATCAGCTTGAAGGACCTGAGCTGGGTCACCCCCTCTGAGACTGGTTGACTCCCCGCCACTGCCCTCCAGCCCAGCTTCATGGCCTCAGTAACCAGACTGCTTTGGTCTCGATTCCCTTGGTGCTCTCTAGTCATGGATTTCAGTGACACTGCTGACAAAGGTATGGGTTTTTGTTGTTGCCTTTTATCACCATCTCCTTGCACATGGCGTCCATTTGGTGGCAGATTCGGATCTTCACACCCTGAGATGTTTCCCCCCTCACGGCTCTGAGTGTGCCCTTCATGTGTCTGCTCCTCAGGCTCAAGAATTGCATGCCTCAGACACCACCTGCGGGTCTAGGCTTTCACACCTCTGATCTCTTTTCAAGTTGTTTCTTCCCCTTCAGTCTTGCTGAAGTTTGTAATCAAATCTGGTCACTTTTGTCCTCTTGTACCTTCGTTGTGACAGACTTTCTTTTCTTGGGCTCCACAATCACTGCTGGTGACTGCAGCCATGAAATTAAAGGATGCTTCCTCCTTGGAAGAAAAGCTGTGACCAACCTAGGCAGCATATTAAAAAGCAGAGACATTACTTTGCCAGCAAAGGTCCATCTAGTCAAAGCAATGGTTTTTCCAGTGGTCATGTATGGATGTGAGAGTTGGACCATAAAGCTGAGTGCCGAAGAATTGTTGCTTTTGTCATGGGGTGTTGGAGAAGACTGTTGAGAGTTCCTCGGACTGCATAGAGATCAAACCAATCTATCCTAAAGGAAATCAACCCTGAATATTCATTGTAAGGACTGATGGTGAAGCTGAAGCTCCAATACTTTGGCCACTTGATGCGAAGAATTGTCTCTTTGGAAAAGACCCTGCTGCTGGGCAAGATTGAAGGCAGGAGGAAAAGGGGACAACAGAGGATGAGGTGGTTGGATGGTATCACCAACTCAATGGACATGAGTATGAGCAAGCTCTGGGAGTTGGTGATGGACAGGGAAGCCTGGCATGCTGCAGTCCACGGGTCACAAAGAGTCAGACACGGCTGAGCAACTGAACTGAACTGAACCTTCCTTGTACCTACATATGTTCACATCAGCTCTTTCATCTACACACAACCAGTTAAAAAACGACAACCCTGGAATCATTTATAAATAGATCAACTAGGCTAGAGGTTTTCTACTCTAGATTGAGCAAAATCACTGTGTCTTCTTTGAAGAACCAGCCAGATTTACTTTGTATTTCAAAAAGTTTATGTTCTAATTTGTCATTAATAATCAGTAATAGCTAAAGCATTTTAAAGGATGCTTCAAAAAATAATGTTTAAAGAAAAACATACATATATGTATACCTATGACTGATTCATGTTGATGTTTGACAGAAAACAACAAAATTCTGTAATGCAATTATCCTTCAATTAATAAATAAATTTTAAAGAATATACAATAGAGAAAAAATACCTATCCAATCATGACTATCAATTGTTAAACTCTGTTTAGCTTCAAATTTATGTTCAGACTTGATGGCAGTGTTTATTTCAGACTTTCCTTTCATCTTTAGCTAGGTGTCCGAGCCCTCCCTGCACAGCCCAGGCCTCTTGGGTTTGAGATGGCCTCTGCTGCGGGCACTCATTCAAGGGCCACCATGGCCACTTGTGGATCACCTCCGTCATCCATGGAACACTTGAGCCATCTGCCTACCACCATCTGTGGCTACTTCCTTGCTATAGGTGACTTTGTTCAGTTGCTCAGTTGTGTTCAACTCTTTACATCCCCATGAATGGCAGCATGCCAGGCTCCTGTCCTCCACTGTCTTCTGGCTCTTGAGCACTGTCTTGTTCAAACTCATGTCCACTGAGTCAGTGATGCCATCCAACCATCTCATGTATCACCCCCTTTTCCTGCCCTCAATCTTTATCAGCATCAGGGTCTTTTCCAAAGAGTCGACTCTTCCCATCAGGTAGCCAAAGTATTGGAGCTTCAGCTTCAGCATCAGGCCTTCCAATTAATATTCAGGATTGATTTCCTTTAGGATTGACTGGTTTAATCTTGCAGTGCAAGAGACTCTCAAGAGTTTTCTCTAGCACTACAGTTTGAAAGCATCAATTCTTCAGTGCTCAGCCTTTGTTATGGTCCAGCTCTCACATTCATACATGACTACTGGAAAAACCATAGCCTTGACTATAAGGATCTTTGTTGGCCAATGATGTCTCCGTTTTTTAATACGCTGCCTGTTTGTCATAGCTTTTCTTCCAAGAAGCAAGCATCTTTTAATATCATGGCTGTAGTCACTGTCCACCATGATTGGGTATTGGACCTAATTTCAATTCAAGTGTCTCCCTGATTTTTGTTTTCAAATTCAACACCTGCTTTACTTATTTAAGCTGTGTAGATTTTTATTTTAATCCAAAGTTCCTTGGTAAAGTCACTTTAAAAGAAAATGGTAAAAGCTTACTTGAATCCATGATCTTACCTGAGTGGAGCAATGTTGCAAGTAGACAGACAACTACAGTCACCTTAGTCTGCTTGAAACTCTTCTGTCATAGAAAGTAGAAATGTGCAATGTTAAAGAAATGTGTGCATGTCATTTTGATAGTACTGTAGAATCTTAATATACTAAAAAGTAAACTTGAGTGGCCATGCTTTTGTTGTGTTGGCTGTGTTGCAGAGGTTGAAGCGCTGGGTCTGAGCTGGGCATGTCCTGGGTTCTGAACAGGGTCCTGCTGCCTGCCTAGTTGTGATTGTGGACAGGTCACTTAGCCTCTCTAGCTGGCAGGCTCCTCTATAAAGTGGTGCTGCTAATACAAGAGCAGTTAAAGCTGAGGGGCCCCTGCCCTGCTCTGCCCACTGTCCTTACTTGGTCTCCCCAGCAAGCCTGGCGGGAACCTTCACTGTCACCTGGGAGCCAGGAGGGTGAGACGTTCCTGTGGCCCCCAGGCTAGTAGGAGGTAGAGCAGGGCTTCAGCAGGGAGACCTCTATGCTGTCATCATGGCTGCACTGTACATTCATGCAGGTTGTGCACTGCACAACTCCCCTCGCAGAGGCTTGACTGGCATCCCTTCTGGTCATGAAACAGATGGTGGTTGTGTCCAGGCTGCCCCTCGTGCGGTCATGCAGAGTCTTCTTTACTGAGATTTGGTGATGTTTAAGTGAGCTAAAGCACGGTAGTGACCAACAGGTGGTGTCATTGGATAAACCTGTCCTATGCACACCACCTCATGGCTGCTCCCTCTCCTCACCGCCCAACAGCAGCGGGTATCCCATCCACACTCAAGACTCTTACCTCCTCTCTGTAGGTGAGTCCCACACCTGCCCAGACCTTTTTCTTGCTCTCTGTACTCAGACCCCAGGTCCCCCCACATCTTCTGGGGGACTACCTCATCTCCAGCTTGGCACCTCAGAGTGAACTCCCAGTGACACACCCCCCGCCCGCTACAGGCCTCTGAGCTCAGCAGCTCCGTCCTTCTGTGCTCTCAGGCTGAAAGCTGGGCCTCCTTTCTCTTTTGCCGCAGACCCGAGCCATCAGGCCGGCCTGCCTGCTGTGCTGCTCCACTCCGCTGTGTGGATCTGGCTGTGTCTCGCCTCGTCCGCTGGCGGGCTCGGATCCGCTGGGGCTGTTGGCACTGGTCTCCGGCCCTGCCTGCCTCCTCCGCCCTGCCCCACGCCCACTCCTCCCCAGGGGACAGCGGGACGAGGGGGTGAGTGAGTGCTGCTTTTCTTACTAAGAGATATTTCTCAGGTGCCATAATATTAATATTAAATCAAGTACTGTTACAATTTCCCACGTCTTGATTATATATGAGTAACTAATGAATAACTGACTCATTTAGAGGGTTTAGAACTCTAATGGAATAAACTTTTTTTTTTCCTTCTTGTAAGGGTAGAAAAATAGTTTTCAAGAGTCTTATTTTAGATTAATAGTCTAGGAACATTAAATTTTGGTGTCTTTACTCTAGGACCTAGATAAAAATAAAGTTAATTAGATACCAGCAATGTCAGATGCTAAATGGTGTCTGGCTATTTATGACTTTCTCTTGGAATTCAGTAGTTATTAACTTGCAAAGATGTGGCCGCTGAAGTCCAAAATTGATGTATTTTTAAATTAGAAAAAGAGCTTTGAAGTATTTTTTTTAGATTATAAACTGTCAATTTAATGGTCCTGGAATCCCTATCTGAAACAGCAAATCATTGCCATTCTGCTGTGAATCTCTTGATTCTCATGAACATGGGAATTCTATTTTTATGCTTCTCTTAAATAATCCTAAAGGTGAAAAAAGGAAGTGGGAAGAAAGAAGACTATGATAGATACAGAGAGAGGTCACTACTTCACCTCTGGGGACTCCGCGTGGAGTGGCTGTGAGATAAATTAAGACGCAGAGAGAAGCATGGTACTCCTTGAGGGCCCTGCCTGACCACAGCCACAGGCTTGGCGTGGTCAGGGCCCCGCTCGCCCTGTCATTCTGGTGGATTCTGCCTCACGCTTACTCTTGAGAATATGGCACTTATTACTTGATGAAGTTTCATTGTGCACTGGGTCATGTCGTTTGATGAGAAAAAGCACGCTATCAGTTTATGAAGTGAAGGCTGTATGCATGTAATTGCCACTTTGCCTGCTTCTTGATATGAATGTATAGTGGGTGTGAAGTGGGCTTGTGCACATGCTTGTAGGAAGCTAGCTTGCCCTTGTGTCTCATAGACTGTTACCTGCCCTTTAGTTGAAAAGAACCTAAATGGACTCAATGTCATCACACCAGGTGTCTTGAGAACCAAACTGTGTCCTCTTGCACCCACGGGATCATTTTGAGCAGTGGGTACCCTGGAGAGGTCTGGCTGCCCACATGCCCTGCAGAACATGGTAGCACCCACTGGGGTCTGGAGGGATAAGGCAGTGAGAAGGCCTTTGGGGAGTTTCCATGGGGACAGCTAACAGAAGCAGAAGATATTAAGAAGAAGTGGCCAGAATACACAGAAGAACTATACAAAAACTGTCTTAATGACCCAGATAACCATAATGGTGTGATCATGGACCTCAGGCCAGACATTCTGGAGTGCTAAGTCAAGTGGGCCTTAGGAGGCATCACTACAAACAAAGCTAGCGGAGGTGATGGAATTCCGGCTGAACTATTTCAAACCCTAAAAGATGATTCTGTGAAAGTGCTGCACTCATATGCCAGCAAATTTGTAAAATTCAGCAATAGAGCCACAGGACTGGAAAAGGTCAGTTTTCATTCCAATCTCAAAGAAAGGGAATGCCAAAGAATGTTCAAACTACTGCACAACTGCACTCATTTCACATGCCAGCAAGATAATGCTCAAAATCCTTCAAGTTACACTTCAGTAGTATGTGAACCAAGGACTTCTAGATATACAAACTGGATTTAGAAAAGGCAGAAGAACCAAGATCTAATTGCCAACATGTGTTGGATCTTAGAAAAAGCAAGAGAATTCCAAAAAACATCTACTTCTCTTTCATTGACTATGCTAAAGCCTTTGACTGTGTGGAACACAACAAACTGGAAAATTCTTAAAGAGATGTAATACCAGGCCACCTTACTTGTCTCCTGAGAAATTTGTGTGCAGGTCAAAAAGCAGCAGTTAGAACCAGACATGGAACAACATACTGGTTCCAAATTGGGAAAAGAGTATGTACATCAAGGCTGTATACTGTCACCCTGATTATTTAACTTCTATGCAGAGTGAGTAAGTGAGTGAAAGTCGCTCAGTCATGTCCAACTCTTTGTGACCCCATGGACTATACAGTCCATGGAGTTCTCCAGGCCAGAATACTGGAGTGGGTAGCCATTCCTTCTCCAGGGGGTCTTCCCAACCCAGGATGGAACCCAGGTCTCCCACATTGCAGGCAGATTCTTTACCAGCTGAGCCATAAGAGTACATCATTTGAAATACCATGCTGGTTGAATCACAAGCTGAAATCAAGATTACCAGGAGAAATAACAACCTCAGATATGCAAATGATACTACTCTAATAACAGAAAGGGAAGAAGAACTAAATAACTTCTTGATGAGGGTGAAAGAGCTTAAAACTCAACATTCAAAAAACTAAGATCATGACATCTGGTCCCAGCACTTCATGCCTAATAGATGGGGGGAAAGTGGATACAGTGACAGATTGTCACTGTCTTTAATTTATGAAATTAAAAGACACTTGCTTGTTGGAAGAAAAGCTATGACAATCCTAGACAGCATATTAAAAAACAGTGACATCACTTTGCTTACAAAGTTCCATATAGTCAAAATTATGGTTTTTCCAGTAGTCATGGATGGATGTGAGAGTTGGATCATAAAGAAGGCTGAGCACCAAAGAATTGATGCTTTTGAACTGTGGTGTTGGAGAAGACTCTTGAGAGTCCCTTGGACAGCAAGGAGATCAAAGCTGTCAATCCTAAAGGAAATCAACCCTGAATATTCATTGGAAGGACTGATGCTGAAGCTGAAGCTTCAATACTTTAGCCACCTGATGCGAAGAGCCAACTCATTGGAAAAGACCCTGATGCTGGGAAAGATTGAAGACAAAAGGAAAAGAGGGTGGCAGAGGACAAGATGCTTAGATGGCATCACTGACTCAGTGGACATGAATCTGAGCAAACTCCAGAAAATAGTGAAGGACAGGGAAGCCTGGCGTGCTGCAGTCCATGGGGTTGCAGAGTCGGACACAGCTTTGTTGTGTTAGCAACTGAATAACAACGTGGGAACAGAGTCAGCCACGCAGGACCAACCAGTTCGGGTCATGCTGACAGGCTCTGGGCTAGAACAGTGACTTCCGGTGGCATGGTCCCTGCCTGGGAGCCTTGGGGTGAGGCAGAAGGGTCTGGGGATAGGTTGGATGGTGGTGGGCACTAGGGTTTGCACTGCCCCTGGCTGAGCCCTCTGCTGTCTCTGAGAATCAGCTCATTGGGGAGGGGCAGTCTCTCTTGGGGTCAGCAAGGCCTCTCCCCATGCCAGAGCATCAACAGAAAGAAAATACAGTTAAAGTAATGTGCCGTGTGGCGTATGGATGCCACGTGGGAAAATACTGGACAGAGTCCAGGAAAGCAGAGTTAGCATGACTGCCTCCATCAGCAGCATGAACGGCTGTACCTGAGGCTGGGGACAGTCCCTGGGCCCTGCCCGCCAAGCTGGCCCACCGCTCGGGTTTGCACTCTGGTCCCCCTGCCCCACCCCCACCCCAGGCCAGGGGTGGATTTTGTTCCCCTGGTGCCCACTGCCTGGAGCCTTGGGGAGGGGGCTGTGCAGGGCAACCTGTTCTGTGGGGCACATTTGGATGGGCACACCCATAGGTCTAAGGTAATAGAAGCTGCTCGACATGACAAGACATGGCTCAGCTCTGCGTGCAGTTGGTAAATCTGGCGTTAATTCATGTGCACCTTTGGAATACTAAATTGTAGAAGGGATGCTGGCATTACCAGGAAAGGAACTTTTTTTTTTTCTTTTTTGCAAGACACAGTCAGTCATGTTGAAAAGAAGAGTTTGACACATTGATTGACTTCTCTTTGGTTGAAGGACTCTGCCATTCATGTCCTCCCAGCTGCAGCTGGCTTTTGTTGGGAGGACAGGGCCCCCTAGACGTGGGAGAGTGTCTACACAGCCTGTCTGGATGAGGGGGGCCAAGGGCGTGGGCCAGCCCGAGTATGGGGGTCCCATGCCCCGAGATGTGCCTCTGTGTGTGCGCACACAAGTGTGTAACTGTGTGTGTGTGTGTGCGCGTGCGTGCCTGTGCGCCTGGCTGCCTGGGAAGGGGTGAGTGGCTCTGCCTGGCCTGGCTGCCGACAAGCAGGTCAGTGGCGTTGTCCCCAGGAAACGGGGTCCTGGCCCCCTGTGTGGTTCTGCCTGGCCGCGTTACTTTGTGCAGTGTGTTTTATGAACTGGTCTCCTGGCGGTTCCACTTCATTACTGGAGGCCTCTGTGTGTTCTGAAGATGCTGGGCTTTTTCAGGTCGGATTCTGTTTGCCGGGGAGAGCATGTCTCTCTTCCCCCTTCAGGGTCGTGTCCCTGCCTCTGTTTCAGGGCTAAGGGTCCCGGGTCACCCTCCGGCTGGTGGCCCCTCCGTCTGCCTCTGGTGAATGAGCCTGGGGCAGGGGAGGAGCCGCCCTCCCACGTGTCCCTGGGCGGCCGTCACAGCTGTGCAGCTCGGAGGGTTGGCTGAGCGTCCACCCCAGAGGCCGCGGGGCCAGACTAGGGCCGAGCTGCCCCGGGCTGGCTTGCTCATCACGGGGACCCAGGCTATGGGGACTGTCCTCAGCATCAGGGGCCGCCGGTATAAGAGGAGGCGCAGGAGACGCTCCGAGAGGAAAGGTGAGTCGTCCTCTTTTATTCTGAAATGCAGATCCTGGATGCAAATGCGCTGTGGGAATGTGTTCTGACTTGTGCTGTGAATTCATCTTATTGATGCCGGTGATCCCAACTCTCCATTTAAAGCCCTCCTCTTTCTCTCTGTTGGCACTTCACAGAATGTCAGTGAGGGGCCAGCTTACAAAGGCAGATTTAAAAAAACATGTCTGGAAACATGTCTAGAGATCCCATTGGCTTCCAGGTTTAAAATATTGTTTAGAAAGATGTTTATGGAATCTCAAAAGTGTGCAGCTTGGAGTCCTGGGGGATTCTCCCTCTAGAGACGGGTACTCTGTAATTTCCCTTCTGCTGACACGCTTCCTTACTGACTTTTCCAGCCTTAAAACTGCTCTTCATGCTGTTTACCACTGTTAGGTGTTTGCCTTTTAAAAACACGGAGAGCATTCCATTCACCACTTCAGACGATTTCAGTCTATAATTCAACTTAATGTGTTAAAATGTTAAAATCATTATTTTTTTCTTAACACCAGATTCAGAAGTTGCCCTTGACTATAAAAATCACACACTCCTGGCTTTGAGGCAAATTGCTGCTTTAAGAGATGTTGAGAGAGTTTGCTGTCTCCATGTAACATGCATGAACTAACAGAAAATGTGATCAGTGCAAAGACGCTCCTCCTGAGGGAAAAGCCGGGTGTTTTCTGGGTGCCACCTCGTTACCCAGCAGCCGGCAGGGCTGGAAAGGGTCTTTCAGGAGCACCGCATCTTCGGGGTCTTCTGCAGCAGGAGACAGTCACCTCTCCAGGAAATAGAATGAGCCTCAGTTTTTAGTGCACTTCCCGAGAGGAGGAGGAGGAGGAAACCCATCTTGATACTGGCAGCCTTTCGATGTGAGCATCTTGCTGACCGACACAGAGAATCACACTAGTGAGAGCAGCGGGGCTGGCTCGCAGTGCGAGACCTCCAGGGGTGCTGTGCCCACATGCTTGTCCGGGACCTGAGGGCACGTGGGTGCTGCCTCTCAGCGTGTCCCTGCTGCTCCCGCACCTGGGTGACAGCATCAGTCAGGTGTGGGAGAGCAAGATGGCAGGAAGACAAGCAGCAGGGAATGGAGACAAAGGCAGGAGCCAAAACTGCAAGAATTCTCATCCAAAGACCCTAAATTTAGACTTGCCCCCTTTTTTCCCATGGTCCTTCATCACTAGACATTTAAACTGGGGAAAGTTTTGAGAAGTGTAAGAACAATTGTGTCATCATTTGGAGCTTGCTGTAACTCAAGTGGTTTGCGTGAGCCCCACCGTACACAAATTCTGAATGTCTTCATGTGTGCTGGAATCTTTTCCTGCAGTAGGAAAGCTGTTTGCATTTTCAGACCAGCATCTTGGGAGGTTGAGTGTAAGGAGATGTAGCTGTGCTCTCTGCACATCGCTATGTGTGCATGCTCATGGTGGCCGCTGTACGTGCATGCTCATGGTGGACACTGTGTGTGCATGCTCATCGTGGACACCGCTGATGAGTGGGGCACACGTGAATGCCTGCTCCTGTTTTCCACACACCCTATGTTTGAAACTAATAAAAACGCCTTTCAAATTTATGAGTGTTATTAGGACTGGCCATCCCGTTTATACCAAACTGGCAGCGTTTTACAGGATTTGAAATGTAGTCTTTGGTATTGTGTAATTTTAAGGTGCTCCCAGTCACGTGTAAAGCCTGGTGTGACATGTGGCTTTTCAAATGTCATTGGTTGTCAGTACAGCATAGCAGCAGGCAACTTGCTCTCAGTATTGGGGTCTCAGTGGTTTTTCACTGATCCTGAATTATCCCTGTGGTCACCCCCTCCGCAAGGCAGGTGTTGGCTGTGGCTGTGGATGAGACTCCAGTGGATTAACTCAGGCATCAGGAAATGAGTCGCAGTTAGAAGAGAGTGATGTGCAGTTTAATTACCAACCACCAACCAGGACCCGTGAGGCAGATGCTGTTGCTCTGGTGGGCACTGTGCCCAAGGCCCAAGGTGGGCTGGAGCCCAGGTCACACCCGGGGACAGGGGAGCACACCCCAGCCTCCCCAGGCCCCAAGCAGTGCCACCAGCTCCACTGTGGCCTCCTCCACTCCTGGCCTCCGGCTGAGAAGCTCAGAACGGGTCTGAGAGGGGAGGAACCCCATGTGAACAGGCTCCTGTGTTTTGGGATTATGGGCTTCCCTAGTGAGTGCTGGGTCCTGAGTGTTATAGCACCCTTATCTGTACACTCTGTGATGGTTGCTCTCCTGTGCTCAGGCCATCTGGGCGCCCCCATCTTTCCAGAATGGAGAAGTGGATAGGCATGGGGCTTGTTGTAGAAATGGAAGCCCAGACCTACAGTGGTTAGCCTCCTCTGAGAAATGCTGGAGGACAGGGCACCAGAGACAGGGCACCTACTTTCTCTGGTAGATGGAGAAGCCTGAGGCTTCAGGCTCCTTCCCTGCTTCTGTCTTGCTGAGGGAATACCTCCTTGTTAGGGGTGGAGCACTGTGCCAGCTGGCGGCATAGGGAGGGAGAACATTTATCCATCCACCCATCCATCCATCCATCCATTTGTTCACCCACTCATTGATCTAGTCCATCCACTCATCCTACCACCCACCCACCCATCCATCCGTCCATTCGTTCACCTGCCCATTCACTCATTCATCCAGTCCATCCACTCATCCGCCCACCCACTCACCCAGGCATCCTTTCATGCAACAAGTAGCTATTGGCACCCTCATGTGCCAGCACCAGGATTGGGGCCTGTGTCTGTAGGCATGGGTGATAGGATGGTAGGCCTGGAGACTGCTCTGCAGCGGGCCACCCGAAGTGCCCTTTGGTGAGTGAAGAGGGAGGAGTTCCATGTCTGCCTCAGGAAGGAAGGATCTGAGCCAGTCTCTGGCAAGAGTAGGAGATACCATGTCTGCCAGGAGAGGATACAGGGAGGGGAAGTTGCTGACCTCTGATGAGCAGCAGTTGTGGACAGAGGGCCCAGGGCTCCCAGAATAGACTGTGACACATGTGTGGGTGCATGTTACTGCACTTGTACTGATGGGCTTCCCAGCATGAGTGGGGACCAGGCTCCCTGGGGAGGAGCTCCTCCAGTGGGGAGCCTCGTCTGATAGTTGAAATTCTAAAAGAAACGTGGGGGTTAGGTCTGTGGACTGTATTGGGTTGGCCCAAAAGTTCATTCAGCCCGATTCCCTGGGCATTCCCAGTCCCTTTGTTGGATCCCCAGGCTGGGAAGCCTGTTGTGGGGCTCAGAACCTTCACAACAGCAGGGGAACTTCTTTGGTATTATTGTTCTGTAGCTTGTGGGTCACCCACCCGACGGGTATGGGGTTTGATTTTACTGTGGTTGTACACTTCTTTGTCTTTGGATGTAGTATCTTTTTTTGGTGGGTTCCAGCATCCTTCTGTTGATGGCGGTTCAACAGCTAGTTGTGATTTTGGTGCTCTTGCAGGAGGAGATGAGCGCATGTCCTTCTATTCCACCATCTTTGTGCAGATCTGTCTTGATTCCCATAGCCATATACACAATAAGTCTTGAGGTCAGATAGGGCCCCTCTGTTCTTCTCCTTCACATTATGTTGGCTGCTCCAGGTGTTCGCCTCTTCATATGAACATGGGAACAAGTCAGTTGATTTCCACAGAATACCTTGCTGGGATTTTATTGGGATTTTGTTGAATCTATAGGTGAAGTTGGGAAGGGCCAACACCAACATTATTGAGTCTTTCTATCCATGTATATGGATTATATCTCCGCTTATTTAGTTTTTTGGTTTTGTTCATCAGAGTTTTGTACTTTTCCTCATATGGATCTTTTACGTATTTTATTAAATTTATTTCATTGGGGGAGTGATCCTAATGTAAACAATATTGTTTTTTATGTCAAATTCTAGTTCATTGCTCGTATGTAGGAAAGCAGTTGTCTTTTGTGTTTTAGCTTCACTTTCTGCAAGCTTGATATAAGTGCTTCCAAGAGTTTTCCTGTCGGTTGCTGTGCATATTTTAATTATTCTGTGTTGCATTTCACTAGGAAAACTACATTTTCTGAACCTAATGCTTGAACCTTATTTGTTGTACACAGTCTGCCTTACCATGTTCAGTGTGTACTGAGTCTCTAAAGGTAAACTGAACTGAACATCTATTGTTTGGGTGGTTTCCTAGAAAGGAAAATATTTCATTGTAAACTGTTATAAGTTGATTGTTTTGAATATTTTAGTGATACTATGTTTAGAAAGCAAAATATTGGAAGCAAAATGCAAGTCATGAATGCATTCTCTAAACATGCATGATTAAATTGTTGAATTTGAAATTATTTTTTAAATTAAAGAATTTTGTACTTCAGTCACATTTGTTAAATAAAAAATCAGCATTCAATTTTTTCCCATAGCTGCAAAATTAGTCTGTGCTGTGCTTAGTTGTGTCCTACTCTTTGCGACCTCATGGACTGTAGCCTGCCAGGCTCCTCTGTCCATGAAATTCTCCAGGCAAGAATACTGGAGTGGGTTGCCATGCCCTCTTCCAGGGGATCTTCCCAATCCAGGGATTGAACCCAGGTCTCCCGCATTGCAGGCAGATTCTTTACCATTTGAGCCACCAGGGAAGTCCCTTAGCAAGTTGATGGATTTATAGTAAAAAGAATTAACATGAAGAATCTTCATTTTAACAATTCTCTCTTTAAAATGTTGTAGTGTATGGCTCCTAACTGAAACCCATAACAGTCATTAAGAATATGTAAAACTTTTTCAAAACCATTCTTTTCAGAGCATAAGGTAGATTAAAACGAGTAATAATTACTAGTAAGTTTTGTCAAGTTTACTGTCTCTCTTAACATTTTTTAAATTTTTAGTGAGTTCCTCAAGATAGCTTTTTTTTTTTTTTCCAGCACAACAGAGAATTCATGTTCTGATGCATCGTGAATGTGAATAAGTCCTGTTTGTTGTGCTTTATTCCAGAAAACCTTCTTTTCACCAAGAGAGGGGAGGCATGTGTGCAT